TTTTTTTTTAATAAAACACACCCCGGGTGGGGTGGGAGGTTTGGCTACACCCCCAACCTGTGAATATAATGACCCTGAACGGGCTAATAAGTCAAGGGTCTACAACAAAGTCGCAAATACATAAAAAAACATCCAAACCATCTAAAAGAAAAGCAGAAATCAGATTGAAAGTACAAAAAATCGAAGAATGTCCAATGTGGATCCAAAAGCAAGTCCTCATGGGGAGATGGCCTGGCCACGAGGGCCAGGTGTAAAGTCCAAAACATTAAGTCTAGGTAGGGTCAGGAGGAGGCGGCCGTCCGAATCTGAAGGATGGATACTCCAACTGGTCCATCCGAATGAGGGTTCGAAGCCGGAGAGGGATGTCCTCAGGGTAAAAGGTGTGTCTTTGGGGTATAGATGCCCCGGTGCTAGCAAGGAAGTTTAGCGGGGCAGTTCCCCTCTCGGAATATGTGCGAGACTTGGTAGTGGATCGAGCGGAGAATGTCTCTGATGCGCATAAGAGGATGCTGGATCTGCCATGAGCCCTGGTGGCCAGATGTCAAAAGTGTGATGACAGCTGCAACATCTATCTCTATCCAAATATGGGAGGAGATCGAGGCGGCAATCTGAAGACCGATCTGAAGCGCCTGAATCTCTGCGTCATAACTCGATGAGGCCCGAAGTGGGCCATGGAAGGCAGTGATGAGGGCCCCACCATGGTCCCTAATTAGGCCCCCTCCTCCAGCAGCTCTGGTATGTCTGTAGAATGCGCCATCAGTGTTTAGCTTAACCCAAGGAGGCTTGGGTTTCAGCCAAACAACAATCCTGGGGCGCAGATGTTGGACAGGTGGAGGAGATGGTGGCCTCAAGCGATGAGGCGGTGTACAACCTATCCAGTCTCTCGTCGTGAGTCTGTCCAGTGCGGTGAGAAGGGAGAGGTGTCTGTCAACCTGTAAAATAATGTGAGAGCAAGAAAATGTAATATCCTTATGCTTTGCGTTATTTCTTTCTGTCCAGGTGGACCACAGGATCATACAAGGAATAAGAAAGCCCACGTGTCTACTGTGTGTGTGGTGTGAGAAAAAACTCAAGAGCTCAAAAAAACTATTAGTAGTGGGTAAGGGTTTATGTATATAATACAAGTCTCGCACCCCGACCGGCTAGAAATCGCCACAAACTTGTTCTCCTCGCCGGTTGAACGCGGAACCTGCACGAAACTCTCACACCGGGGGTGTTTTCTGGTGAAGAGCCTCCAACGCTCAAGTCAGATCTTGAGAGAGAGATGAAAATATATGTATTCAGATGTAAGAGTGTATGAGATTGTGTTTAAAATGAGAATTCTCGTCCCTATTTATAGGGACGAGCTACCTGTTCTACATGCACGATTTGGGCGGGTTTGGCCAGCTGTCCTCCTGTTCGTCCGTACTGCCGCGCGCTTCTACTATCCTTGATGTCAGAGACCGCGTCGAATTTTGTCAGAGAATGTCAGAGTTCGTTACGGCCATGGTCCACTCGAAAAGCGCCACGTGTCTTCCTTTCACGTGTTGGAGATTCCCTTGTGCGTCCTGCTGCTCGACCAAGTCTATACGACCAACCTTCCTCGACCAACTCCTCGAGTAGTCGATGCCTGTCGACCACCTCTGAATCCCCTTGTCTCTGCTGTCTGCTCTCTGTCCTTCATTGCAGGTGTCTGGTCCAATTCGACCATACCATTTGACCCGTCTTATGTAGTTAACCCGACGAACCGGTCTATTTTCTCCGGTTAGCCCAACAAACCGGTCTAGTATATTACATCCCATATTAGTATATATGTGGAATAATGCTCTCACACTCTCCTCACAGTCTCACTTTCAAGGAAAAGGTGGGTAAAAGTCTCAATCTCGAAAATGCCGGTCTCAGCACAACAATGACAGCGGGAGATGAAGGAGAACCCCCTCGCCTCCATCACAGTGTCAGTGGGTATGCACCTATAAAGGAGGCGCCATAAAAAGACGAAAATTGTCGGGGTGAGAAGGTCGGTCCAGATGGTCCCGAAGAGGAGGTTAGGCCGGTTACACAGCCGCACATCTCCCTAGGCCGAGGACGTAGAGAATGCACCCAAAGATGTAAGTCTCCAACTCATGCCGTCCGAACCTCCCTCCAAAATGGCAATATGTCGAATCTGGTCAATCTCAAGACTACTGAATCCCCCACCCTCACCTAAAATAATCTCCATCTTATCTCTATCCCAAACGTCCCCCTATGAGAGGGACGAGAGGGTACCTCGCGCCCGAGTGGATATCGGGCGTGGCAATCACGGCTAAAGCTGACGTGTACAGCTACGGAATGGTGCTTTTCGAGCTTGTTTCCGGGAGGAGGAATTCGGAAGGCTCGGAGGATGGGAGGGTGAGGTTTTTTTTCCCAGCGGTGGCTGCCCGTGTGGCGGTGGAAGGTGGGGACGTGTTGGGCCTTGTGGACCCTAGATTGGGACGGGATAATTTGGACCCGAACGAGGTTTTGAAAGTTTGTAGGGTCGCGTGTTGGTGTTCGAATGATGACGAGGACGTGAGGCCGTCGATGGGCCATTGTTGGTGTAAGCCTTGTACAAAGAAGAGACGAGCCCGAAGGAAGGAGGCCAGACGGCGTGGTTTGCAATGGGCTGACAAAGGATGGTGGATACCGTCGGAAGATTGTGAGAGGTTGAAGGGCTAGGATCTATGGCCCGACCCAACAGTGACGATCGGCGACGAAGAGGGCGACGACGATCGGCTAATGGGCGAGTGGCGCGCATCGGCCCATGATGCGCGCAGTTGGACAGAGCAGGACAATGTGCGGAGGTGCACGGTAAACGGGCAAGTCGCGGATGTCGACTGGGACGCGCTGGCGTTCGGTGAGCAAGGCGCGGGGCGCGATAGGCGCGCGAATGAGTGGTCCGCGGGAGTGAGCAGAACGGGCCATTCCGCGGGTGCACGAGGGTGCGCCGTAGATGATCGGAGCTCGCGGGCGACGGGTGCGACGCGCGAAGAAGCGGACGCGGTGGGGTGCGCCGTAGGAGATTTGGGTGCAGGCGGTAGCCGGCACGCGCAGGACCTGGGCAGCGATGAAGGGCCGCGCACATGGGCGCGCGAGTGGGGTGCAGGCGCGGGCGAAGGCCTAAGCCTCGCAGGCTTAGGAGAGCGGGACGCGCACGCGCACAAGGAAGGCGGCGCAGGCTTGGGGGGCGCAGCAGCGCGCGCGTGTGAGGGGCGTGCGCGAGACCTAATCGCCGAAGGATTAGGCGAGGCGGGGTCGGCGGGCGATGGCGTGCGGGAAACTGCGCAAGTGTCCGCGCGCGACGAGGATTAGGTTTCATGAGGTCGGCGCGCACGAGACGCGGCGTGCGTGCGGTAGGGCGGTGCGCGAGATAGAAGGCGGCCGAACAAGTACTTGGGCATAGTTTGGAATTGTTTGGAGTGCAAGCCAAGCAAGTTCAAGATCTAGTCAATTTAGGACTCTAGATATTTAGTTTTCTTCTTGCACAATAATATCTAGATTGTATAGGTTATTTAATATTTAATTGCTTTAATTAGTTTCCTAGGTAGATTAGAATTAGTAGTAATTAGGATCTATAAATAGGGATGTTCCCTCATTGTTTTTGGAGGACCAGAATTGATGAAATAGAAAAGGGAACGTTTGTTCAAACCGTGTGTTAGGGTTCGTGAGAATTCGATCATGCAACCGAATTGGTGAGGCTAAGACCCAAGCCAGTTCAACGAAGTAGAGAGGCTAAGACCCGATCTATTTGAAGAGTGTAGCGAGGCTAAGACCCGAGTGAACTCAAGTATCGTGAGAGAGTTAGGCTAATAATCGAGTCGATCACACCTATCGTCGAGAGCAATGTTAGTGTTATTTTTGTTATGTTTTTATTAATGTTTTTTTATTATTATTTTTATGTATTTTTAGTAATTTTGTGGGATTTTGTAGTTTTTATTTTATTTAGTGATTTGTAATATTTAAGTATTTGTGTGGATTTTTG